ATTGATATGAAAGAAGATTTGCTGCTGCTGTAATCAAGACAGTATCCTCTTTTTTCGAAAGATTTTGATATCGGTAAATTCAAAAAACAGAACGTTTGCTTCTTCGAACACTAGTGCTGGATAGCTCAATAGGTAGTGTACTGGACTGCCATCCTGAAGGTCGCTAGTTCGAGTCCCTTTCAAGATATGCTTCCTCATATTCTCTAGCTGAAATTGCTTTTTTTCTTGAGAAAAAAGGTCGAAGAATTTTACAAAAGGACTGCGTCTTTACTGCGCTGAATTGATTTAAGTGAGAGTCATTACTGCTCGAGAATAGGTTAGTTATTAGGGAAGATTTTCAAGGTTTTGTTTGCTCCGCAAAAGTCTTGCTTCTTTGTCAGCGCACAAATTCTTGTGCTCCATCGCTCATTTCGCTCATCAACTTTTCTACTTTCGCTGTAGCCACGTTGAATCAAACTGTTTATTTCCGTCAAGCAAGGAGTACTATAAAAGAACAAATAAAGATTTTCTTGGGGAATCACTGTAGAGTTGAATAGGCTTCGCGAAAAAATTTGATCTATTGGTGGGCACAGGGTTTTTGCTGCAAAGCCTTGATATGACAAGCACAACTTCTGCAGGAGAAAAGTGCGCAGGATGGCTCAGTCGGTAGAGTGTTGGGCTACGATTCCGACACTTGCTGGTTCGAGTCCCATCTGGCGACATAGTTGAACAGAAAGTCTTCCTCGTTCATTGATAAGAATGATGATTACTGCGGCGGTGATCAAGGCGATACCCTCATTTCTTTAAAATATTTTGATGTCGGCAACTTCAAAAATGGAATATTTGCATTTTCCTATAGATGCGATGGATAGCTCAGTAGACAGGGTATTGGGTTGCCATACTAAAGGTCGCTAGCTGGACTCCTGCGGATGGTTTTTAGCAAGGTTAGAGTGGAAGCAACTTGTCGTCTGTAGTGTCACTGCATATATGGAAAAGAGGGCATAGTGGTTTCCACCGAAGCTTAGATGCCTACAAATAGTGGAGAAAC